GAGGCCTCTTCCTCAAAATGCGTGCCTTTGTACAGGAATAGCCCTTCCCCCCCATGCCTACAACATTGCGTGCCTGCCCGATAATCGAGTTCTGAGTCGTACTTTATATTTCTGAGCATGAATAAGCGAATGAATATGATTGGTTAAGCTATTCCCCTGACGTAATGGAAAGAGTTTTGTTTTGCTTACCTGGCTGCATAAGTTTGAGCTGCTAACTTGCCGATATTTTCTTCGAAACTCCTACTAATTGGTATGTTACAAACAAACACTAATACTGTTATCTACCGATAACCGTTCATCAGGTCCGTCTTATTTAGGTTCTCGAAACCTCTTGGCAAACATGCTTACTAATGCTGGCTTTTATTCCTCTTTGAACGACAGAAAAATTCGCTGAGAAGTCCAATTGCAATGTCGCTAAATGTAGCAACCGCGTGTCACCTAAACACAGTGCGACATTCGAGCATAAATTGTGTTAAACCGCATAGGTATTTCTAGTTTATTCAACTAATGCAATTATAAAAATTCCGCTATCTTATTGGGATTTGAATCCACGAAATCAAGGAAAAGGCCCGAGTACAGTCAACATTCTAACTACCCGAGCTACTAGGTCCCGACCGGGGGTTTTGATTTTTGCCCTGATAGCAATTTCCTTGCGCTGCGCAAGGTCCAAATGTCCCTGCTGGGTCTAGTGCAATAAGGTGTTCCGACAGTCGCGACCTGATTGGCGGAGGTTACAACCGCTTGTAATCTCTCCCAATCACTGCCCACCACTGCATTGACGCAACCCAGAGACCAAATGGTCCTGGGCAACGCTATTAGGGAGTAACATGTTCTCTAAATTACCCAACCGAGTATTGCAAATTATTGAATCTGTACTACATTTGATACAGCAACTTTGGCGGGCGTGGCGGCAATTTCAGCGGTTACACTAGAGTTAGCTGCATGTAACTCATGACGGCCAACAGCCCGAAATAGCTATACTACGTTGCCTGTCTATGCCGGTATACTAATACAGAAATAAGTCCATTGAGTTGCATCGCTCTGTTCACTACAGGCATATGGGTAACCGGAAGCATGAGATAGTTCTTTCTGAATTTCATTTTTTGGCATCCCGTTGTTGGCACAATTGCCAGCGCAGCCATGGCCGTTTACTAACAATCGACCCGTTATCCTATCAATAAGCACTTTCATGGCGCATGCCAGACGTAACCCTCAGCAAAAACCTTATTCCCTGTGACGTCTCACCTCATCCCAACGCCCTGAATTCGTGCATTTCTGCGCCCTAATGTCTGCAACTGTCTGTATGAGCTCTTCCTGTGATATTCGAGTAGCACAGAAATTCGTACCTGACAGATTTTTACGACAAAAGATAAACAAATACATCGGTATGCGTGAACACTCATGTTTAGCATCCTGCGAAGAAGACAACAAAGACCAATTGATTTCATAGACCTAATTTCATTTATTTGGAGTAT